CGTACCATTGATGTATATCAGTAACTCTGGGCACTACACTAACATTTCTTACCAATGATGTATATCAGTAACTCTGGGCACTACACTAACGTTTCTTACCAATGATGTATATCAGTAACTCTGGGCACTATAACGTTTCTTACCAATGATGTATATCAGTAACTCTGGGCACTACACTAACGTTTCTTACCAATGATGTATATCAGTAACTCTGGGCACTACTTACGAACTAAACGACAATTAAAGTGCCTTACTTTGCGATATAATTTATGCAGAGTACGTTCAAGAGTATGGATAAGGTCTTCCAGTCCTTCGATTCTTTCCTCGGTTGCGTCGAAATCGGTTTCTCTTTGTATGATGTTCTGTGATTCAGTGCTAGGAGCGTGAGCAGTCGCGTTTGCTGTCGTCATTGACACGACGTCATTATCTAACTTGTTCATTCTAAAACTGAGCGGTTTTTCGTCTGGATAACTATATTCCAAAGATCGTCTGGTGCGGCGACTTAAAGTTGTTACCGAATTGAAGTCTCCGCTGTCCTCGCAGCCTGAGTAGTGGGGGAAAAAAAACTTACATCGTCATACAAGTCGTGAAATATCTGTAAGTCAACTTTCAAAGCAAAGAAAACAGAAACCAAATTCATACAGTAGTATTAAGTAAAACAAAAACAACGATATTAAGTCAAATTATATCTGTTGTATTAAGTAAAAGAAAATGAAACAATGTCATTAAGCTAAATTAAATCATTAATACTAAGATAGCTTACGGAAACTAGTCCTAATTATTCGATCTTATGATATCTATGTACACGGAGCAATGACGGAACAACAAAAACCAGTACGTTATTTGAATCTAAGTTTCAAATGGACAGCAACTGCCTGTTGTAGAAACCTTCCGCCTTTCGTCTTCAGGTTAGCGTGTGTGTGGTGACCTGAAGGCGGAATACTTTCGAAATGTCGTCGTCTACATTTGTAGGTTTCTACAACAGGCAGTTGCTGTCCATTTGAAACTTAGATTCATTATGAATACTCTGTCTAAACAACTTATTCAAAGTAAGTTCTTTGTTGTTGTTCAGTAAGAAGTAAGGCAGGAGGCCCACATCTTAAGAAGAAAGGCAGGAGACCCACATCTAAAGAAGTAAGGCAGGAGGCCCACATCTAAAGAAGTAAGGCAGGAGGCCCACATCTAAAGAAGTAAGACAGGAGGCCCAAATCTAAAGAAGAAAGGCAGGAGACCCACATCTAAAAAAGTAAGACAGGAGGCCCACATCTAAAAAAGTAAGGCAGGAGGCCCACATCTAAAGAAGTAAGGCAGGAGGCCCACATCTTAAGAAGTAAGGCAGGAGGCCCACATCTAATGTTTTTTTATGAAAATATATTGTTGAAAAGCAATAAATAAGCGTTTACCGTGACAACAGTCTGACCACATCCTAAGATCAACCTTTGGTATTTCTGAGCATTCTACAAACTGGGGAGTTTGAAGACCCGGGACGATAAAAACGTTCCTGGTTACATGGGTGATGTTGTCGCCGTTGTCACATATAACACGTGCTAAGGTTGTTTGTTTCACCTGGACCAATTGGTCGGGACTAAAGACTCCAGGATTATCATACCAGTACCTGCAAGAAACGTAAATAATTACTGTAGGAATGTCCGTCAGCTGACTTGCCTGTAACTATACCAAAGAATACATATAAAGTAATAATAATAAAAAAATCAAAATCAAATACTACAACACCTGTCCCCATCACGTAATCTTTTAAACTGGTCAACTAAGATGCACGTAAAAGTAGGCCCGATTCTAGCGCCCTCTGTCGATTCTTCGCTGAGACCTCCTACCCAAAGATCTACGTTTCCTGGAAGAAGAGGAAGAGGTGAATGGATTACTTTTTCGATAAGAATAATATTAATTATATAAAACAATCAAAATAAAAATGTATTTGTGTTAAATCAGAGGAAAAAAAGTAATTCTTACTGACCTGGATGACCATACAGGTTTTGAAGTTTCGTTCTCAATTCTTGATCTTTTATCTCATTTTTCAGGTCATCAAAGTTCTCCGCTACGCTCAGGTTGCAGAATTTACGCCATTCGTTATAACTCGGAATTGCGTGGTCACGCCCCCTTTGAATGTTCATAGCAGCAAGGTCAAGCGCCACTTCGTGAGCTAGCTACAGATATACAATAGATTTATTTTTACTCCTTCTCGCGTTGCTTAAAATATACAATAAAATATATATAATTGAACTCAAGGTTTTGTCACTAGGTGGAAATATATTTTGAAATTAATTTTTTGTATGCGAATATGTTATCTCAGAAGTTATACCATACAATGTTATTTGCTAAAGTACATTTCACTAAACGGCGCTACACGTCATAGAGTTTTAAACCAAAATTGTGATTATTTGTAAAATAATAAACAAAAAAAAAAACACTTTACTTGAGTTTTGTAAGAATTAGATTTCTACATCAGGTTATGTTTCGTTTTTTTTTTATCTTACCTCAAACAGATGTTCTGTCAGTTGAGAATTAAGAAGCTGGTCCGGACGCTTGATCTTTGCTGAGGCATAGAAGAGCCCTCTAAGGAGGGGATCTATCCCCCCTTCTTCTACTAATCGGTGAGGAGCAAAGAAAGCTCGATGAAGTTCTATATTTCCTTCAGGTATGGGTTGAAAAGTGGAG